ACAACGACCAATAGGACAGCAACAACTACAGCAAGTTCAACAACAACAATATCCATGACAACAACAATAACGATAACAATAATAATGACAGCAGCAACAATAATGTAAAAACAATTAACAGACCCGCACACTATGAATGGATCGTTTGAGGTTTTATCGAATTATTCTAATTTTCAATTCTATTGATTACGATGACTATAGTTCAAGGGTGTTTTTTCATACAATATATCAGAACATAGAGCGCAAAAAGTTGAACAAAATAAACTATTGTAAATATTGTATATCATATATTTAGTGGGATTATATAGTCCAATTAGAGTAAGAAAGGTGAAAATTTTTGATATGTTGTCTAACCTTTTATTCTCTGGAAAATGGTAAAGAAGCTGAAAAACAAAGTTTACACCTCTCTCTTAAATAGTGATTGTTGATGGTTCATCAATAGAACATAAATACTTTTAGCAATTTTCATTGCCATGGCGCAATTATAAATCAAAATAAATGTGACATTCATAATCAGCGTCAAAAATTACATTGAGTCAAATATATTTTAAAGAAATTTTTTCTGTAAACAACTAACTACTGGGAACGATAGGACATAAGTTTGATAAAATATAGCGGTGAGGGATTACAGGTAATTTCGCCATGGAAAAAAATTCCTCTAAAATATATTTGACTCAATGTAGTTTTTGATGCTGATTACGAATGTCACACTCATTTTGATTTACAATCGCGTTGGGTGTGAGGGTGAGTATTGGGTATGGATGTGGAGTGTGGATGTGGATAAAAAGGAATGATCAACACCCTCAAGTCATCCATTGTTTTGAGACAGTATGAAAATGAACTATTTCAACATTTCAATTTCTTCAAATAATCATCCCTGGACACTAATGACGGTGTCCAAAAACTGTGGCCGTCAAGCCTCTTATCATTAGACTTGACTGTAGTTCGAGAGCAATTGAGAAGATAATGTCGATTATAACTTGTTCCATCAAAAATTCTATTATGTCTAATATGAAATCAAATTGATCTTTATTGTCTCTTCCAATAAAGCCAAAAACTAAAATAATCTCTGAATGATTGGAACATATTGTACCATATGCCAACACAAGATCAATATTTGCATTGAGTTCGAATTCAAACTTATACATTAAACTCGATGCATTCTTCTGGAAAGATCATTGAGCTCAGGTAATACTGTCTCTAGAGTCAGTATCTTGATACTCTCATCTCGCTATGCAATTTTAACTCTAATTTGAGAGATCATTCACGATAAGAAATTTATGCACATTTATGTTTCAAAATGAAGTTTCGATCTGTACTAATATATGTAATTGAAGAGAATTTTAACTGAGACCAATTTGTTCATAGTTGATTAGGCTTTTTGTAACAGTTTAATTGATTATCAGAAATAGAAGGACAAACAATTTGTTATTATAAATTATTTTCTTAGATATACACAGACTAAAAGATGATTATGTAGAAGTGATTCATCGTTATTAAAATAAAGCAATTGTGCTTTAAGCATAATATTTGGAGAAGAAACTAATTAAATCAAAATTTAAAAGTCGTTAATACACTTAGTTTGTTTGAAACGATTTATATAGTTCTGTACTTTTCAAAGGTTCACCATCATAAACTCCTCCAGTAACCAACACTTTTCCATTCGTTAATATGGATGCTGTGTGATCACCTCGTGCAATATTCATCCTATCAATAATTACCCAAGTTTCTGTTGATGGATCATACAATTCAGCAGTATCTAGAGGATAATGGTCAAATCCACCAGTAACTAATACGTTTCCATTTTTTAATACAGATGATGTATGTTTCCACCGCGTATGATTCATGCTACCAGTGATTGTCCACATTCCTGTTGATGAATCATACAACTCGGCACTATTTCGATTAAAATTATAATTCGATCCACCAGTAACCAATACTTTTCCATTCGTTAATACAGATGCTGTGAATTGAATTCGTGTATAATTCATGCTACCAGTAGTTGTCCAAGTCTCTGTTGATGGGTCATACAGTTCAGCACTATATAAACGATTAAAATTATTATGTCCACCGGCAACTAACATTTTTCCATTTGTTAATATGGATACTATATGTTCAGCTCGTGCATCATTCATGCTATCAGTAATTGTCCAAGTATCGGTAGATGGATCATATAACTCAGTACTATTTAGAAAATCCTGATTAATATGTC